CACCCCACCCTACCCACATTTGGGCAGTGTCAGTGAATGGTGGTGGTGGCCGGGGTGATGACCAGCCCTTGTCCTGCCCGAACCCCCCCATCACTGCGGCTCCAACAGATGGAGCTCGGAGGCCGCTCGCCGCGCTGGCCACGGCCGAGCCGTTAAGAGGGACATAAATCACAGAATCACAGAATCACAGAATCTTAGTGGTTGGAAGGGACCTCTGAGATCATCGAGTCCAACCACAAAAAAAAAAAAACAAAAACCAAAAAACCACCAAAAAACAAACAAACAAACAAAAAAACAACACCACACCACACCAAACGCCCACCAAAAACACCGCACCCACCAACTAAACCCCACACTCAACACCTCACCACAAACCAATAGCCTTGGGCATGCCTGAAGAGCCATGTCTACACATTTCTTAAATCCCTCCAGGGATGGTGACTCCACCACCTCCCTGGGCAGGCTGTTCCAGTGCCTGACCACTCTCTCAGTAAAGTAGTTCTTTCTAATATCTAATCTAAATCTCCCCTGCCCCAACTTCAGACCATTTCCTCTGGTCTTGTCGTTCGTCCTTTGGGAGAAGAGGCCAACACCTGCCTCTCTACACCCTCCTTTCAGGTAGTTGTAGAGGGCAATGAGGTCTCCCCTCAGCCTCCCCTTCTCCAAACTAAACATGCCCAGTTCCCTCAGCCTCTCCTCATAGGACTTGTTCTCCAGACCCCTCCCCAGCTTGGTGGCTCTCCTGCATTGGAGGTGCTGGAGAGGGTCCAGAGAAGGACAACGAAGCTGGTGAGGGGTCTGGAGCACAAGTCTTACGAGGAGAGGCTGAGGGAGCTGGGGGTGTTCAGTCTGGGGAAGAGGAGACTGAGGGGAGACCTTCTCGCTCTGTACAAGTACCTGAAAGGAGGGTGTAGAGAGACAGGGGTCGGTCTCTTCTTCCAAGCTACAGACGATAGGACAAGGGGTAATGGGTTCAAGTTGCGCCAGGGGAAGTTCAGGTTGGATATTAGGAAACATTTCTTTACTGAAAGGGTTGTCAGGCATTGGAATGGGCTGCCCAGGGAGGTGGTGGAGTCACCATCCCTGGAGGTATTTAAGAAACGTGTAGACATGGCTCTTCAGGGCATGCTCTAGTGCCCAAGATTA